TACACCACCTTTTGTACTATTATAATCCATGATTATTTCTGGCTTTTTAGAAAAAAGCAATACACGAAAATAAAGAAAAATATTTGTATGAAAAAAAAATAATATTATTACGACCAGGCGCGAGACGTATTTCGTGCGATCGGACGGAGTTGATTGAAATATACATCGATAATAATTTGAAAAATGCGTAAGATTAGATAACAATTATTAAGTGTTTATAACATATACGTCATTGTGGAATAGGAAAAACCCCAGTATTAATCGGGATACGTAGATAAAAGTTATGTCAATTAATCTATAATTGTCGTACAAAATGCGCATACGCGCCTGCTGAAAGGTTAAAAAAATACCAAATGGAAAACGTTGTCGAAGATGTACAGGAGCCTCCTAAGAAGCGCGGAGTTTGTCGTTTATGTACGATCGAAAAAAAGAGATCATCTGCTACAAAGATATGCTATAAATGCAAGTTGTACACATGTAAGAAGCATTCCAGCAAACATGAAATAATTTGTCGGACATGTAATGACGAAAATTTATCAGACTAGAATTAGATTATTTATTTATATTATTTATTTATTTATATTATATATATAATATTATAAAATATTATATAAATAAGAATAAAATGTTACAAAAAATATTTCTATTAAAAATTATTTATTTATCCTTTATTTTAATTAAATATATATGAAAAGCATTCTGTCGTATAAAGTACGACACGCGCCTGCCATAAGGTTAAATGCCCTTGTGCTACTTTCATAATTTCATCGTTAAATTCACACATAATATGTATAAATAGACAACATCTACGTATTTCAAAAAATATAATGGAAAATTTTTGATTTGACTGTAGGATAAAAATACGACTTTTGCACAATTCCGGGCTCTTTTACAATTCGTGGCCCTGGCGTAGGCACAGTTCACCATACCCTTTCCACGCCGCTGAATGTTGTATTATAGTTTTCCAGTATTATATAATTTGGTATAAATATTAATGCGATGTATTATAAGTTGAAATACACGTTTTAATTAAAAATATAATATTGGTCTTAAACGTACTGCGATTTCATGGTACTCGAAAAGGTTGCTATCAGTATTATAGTCCGCAAAAAAAGCCTTGAGTATATGCCAATTGTAAGTGGAAAGGGTGAGTGAGGTTAATTCCTACACCTCCCCAATATTTTTTTTGTCCATGAGCAATATGATTAGTTAACAAAATAAAGATCATAATTTGAAATCAATAAAATGCAATTTAAGACTGTTGTGGTGTCTCGCTGCAGAGTAACAGCTTTTTAAACTATATTTCCATGCAAAAACATGAATAATAAATTTGTAAAATGTACAAACAATAACCGTTCCTAATAAACGAAATAGCAAGGAATTACGTTTGGTATTTTTGATTTAAAAAAAAAAAAAAAAAAGGTCAAAATTTGTTAATACTGTTTATAGCTTTACGATTTATAGTGTATCCTTAACATAAATTACGTGTACCTGCGTAACATAAATTACATAATAAGTATACGCATTAAACAAAAAAAAAAAAAAAAAATGGAAAATCGTTATACCCGCGTATACGCTACACTACACCACTGGTTGCTATGGTTGATATTGTGTTCTATATTTTACATTAATTTATGCCTTGCTTATAAAAATAATGTAATTATTGAAATAGAATTGTAAATTTATTGAACGAGACATTCGTGTAACTTATTAAAAACAGTTTATATTAATATTTTAAAGTTCCATCACCATTAGGAAAGTTCATAAATAATTAATGTTTATCAACTTAATTATAATTAAATTACTGGAATTTAAATAAAGTCTGATGTGTTCAATTTTGCTAAAATATTATTTTCGTATTCAATAGAATATTATGTATTTTATTCAGGATCCATTAAAGGACCTCAATGTTGTGTAAAATCAATTTAATTTTAAATATATAACTATATACATAAAAATGGAGCCAAAAATGTATAACATTTCATCAATTGAGAACGACTGGGCCGATTTTGCTCAAATTTTTTTTTAATTGTTCGTAATTGCCAAGAAAAGGTTTTTACAAAAAAAAAATGTTTGGAAAAGTGTTATTGTTTAATAAATCGTAGTTTAATTTAATACTTTTTGACCCGGTCGATAATTGTGCAATTGAAAATGAATTATTAAATAACTATTAAAAATTATTTAAAAACTATTAATTTTACTATTGGTATTAAATGACGGGGTATTGCATAAATATTAAACAAGATCCCGCAACAGGTACCAAAACAAACAAGAATGTTAGTTCGAAGAATTATTATGCATATCGGTTGATGATTAGACGCGATCAGGACAACGTTATTCTACGATGTCGTGAGCTATGTCAACAATTCATGGTCGACATGTATGAAAAGATAGAGAGCGAACGATTTCGATACTTATGATTCAATTAAAAAAAGCTGTGTGCGGAAGATTCTCATTCACGGTTGTGCAACGGCACCCGATTAGTCATTAAAAAATGAATGAAAAATGTTATCGAAGCCATCATTTTAAATGACGAATTTCGAGGTGAAAATATATTACTACCGCGAATCCCTATTATACCCACAGATGTGCCAATAAAATTTAAACGCCTTTAATTTCCAATAAGATTGGCATTTGCAATGACTATCAATAAGTCTCAAGGCCAAACGACGTCTGTCTGTGGCTTAGATTTGAGCACATCATGTTTTTCACACGGACAATTAAACGTGGCGTGCTCTTGAACCATCCAGTTTGTTAGTGTTGACGAAAGATGGGATAACAAAAAATTTTGTACACTCTGTTGCATTAAGGGATCGATATTATTTTTTTCTAATATTGTCATAATTAGCAATGCATATAATTTTAAAGGATGAATTTTAATAAATTATTAAAAAAATAAATATTTGATGTTTTTTCATTTTTATACTTCGTCACTGTTCACAGCACTTCATACCTCTTCTATTTATATACCACATCCTTACACACTTATTATTAAATTAGTTATTTTTTTCAAAATAATGAATAAACAATGTTTGTCGGGTCAGCTAGTACAATATAAAATATGAGATGGTGCTTAAATTCGGTAAACACTGAATGTTTACTACTATAAAATTGACGTAACGATGTCAATGTGATAGATAAAACTAAAATAATTACTTAAATTAAAAATTTTTAATACAAGGGATGACTTTTTAAGCACGTAGAACCTTATATTACAGCGTTGAAATTCATAATGTGTACATTATATATATTTTAATTCGTGTAAATTCACCCGTGTTAAAGGCCTTTAAAAAACATGTAAAACATAAACTCGTGACTTCACTATTATTTTTCGCAAACCTTGAAATTTGCATTGCAATCGGTATTAAATGTATAAATTAGTAGATATATTTCATATGCCGTTATTCAGGGATAAAATGTAATCGTAGTTCGATAACACCGGTTGTTTTTACAGATTAAATTTAACATATAACTTTAAATATATTAATTTTCAATACGATAAATCGACAAGAAAACGTGTACCCGGAAAACATTCTAACAGAACGGTTGTTCCTGTAGAAGATGAGTTGTGTACGATTTTTAGAATGTCTCCAAACAGAAGATTTTGGTCGAGAGGTTGGGATATTCTATATGAGCTATGTATATTCTATATAGTTATTGTATAATATTATCTGCCAATACCATGTGCAATAGAGGATGCTGACTACACTACTGTAGCCTCCTACTCTGGATTATATTTAATGTGTTTGGCGTCTGAAACAGTTCCTCTGGTTCCTTGTTTTTTCTTATTCTCCATCCCTCATTTTTCTCGTACATTACTGGACCAAAGATCATTCTTAGGATTTTTCTCTCTAGAACAATCATTTTATTTTCCTCCGTTTTTCTTAAAGTCCATGTTTCTGCTTTCTTCCCTCAGATATTATAGCGCTTCCAATTACGGTGCACTGCTATTACTTTCGCGCGCAACGATAAAGTACGAATAATTAAATCTTCAACTATATTTAAAACGTCATCGTGCTCGAGTTGTTTGAAAAAAAAATGCCTTCGTTCATTTATATCATCATTTGTACTTCCGAAACATTTTTTAAAACGGAAAACAGAACAATTATTTATTCAAAAAGCATGTAAAGAAATTGGCCGGGGGGAATTAAATAAATTGAGCGAAATGTACTTTTCTAATAAACAACTATTTACCATTTTTGAAGTATGATTGAAAATTGTATGTGTGTGTGTGTGTGCATTTATGCTTTTATTGACATCACACAAAAATTACAAAAGTGACATATTAGTTGGGACGCGATGTTAGTGAACAAGACAATTTTTGTTTTCCCGGACTTTTGCGTAAGACTAAACTTTAAAAATTACAATTTACGAGCGAATAATTCGTTGAATGTATTTAATAAACCATACATTGTTTCAGCGGTTAATGACGATTCTTTTATTATTTTCAACATTACCTGCAGTGATTGCAGTAACTGACATAAGCATTAATTGCAGCAAAATTAAAATTTTTTTTGATTGGTACACCAACATCAATAAACCGAATGATCTAGGGTCTTAGTTAACTGCAGTTGATAAATCCAAAAAAAACGGACATAAGTAAGAACTAAAATTAACGCGTATAATCGTTGCAATTTATAAAAGACACAGTAACTCACTTTTTTGCTATGTGAATTTTTAAAATATACATATGATAAGTGATGACTTACAATAGTTTAAAAAAATAAAATAATAAAATAATTAAAGAACAGTAATAACTATCATATGCATTATTTAATAATAATAATTTGTTTCAAACTTAGACAAACAAAAATTGTATAATAATTTAAAGAAAAATCTTGGACAAAAAAAACTAATTGAAAAAACAATTTAAGTAAAAAACAATTAGAAAATAAAATATAAAACAGTCAAAAATAAAAAAATAAATGAATCGAGTTAAACAATATTAAATTGCATTCTTTTTAAAATATGAAATATATGTGAGATATGTATTTATATGCTTGCTAGCGATGTCAAACAATAAATCTGATAATTTTGGAAGTTCAATCTTCAATTCAGAGTCATTCATTACTTTGTCAATTCTAAAATATGAAACAAAAATAAAATAATAATTAATAAAACGTAAAACACAGAAAATTTATATATTGTATTTACCCCGATGAAACCGAATCCCTTGATAACAATCGTTCCGTAACAAGTTTGTTTAAAAGTATACCAGCCTTATAGCGAATACTTTGACTTTCATTTAATGTTATAAGTATCAAAGAAGCAACGAATGATACTTGATCATATTTTATCCATGAGTTGATATTATTCAACATCCGTACAATTTCCTGTAAATATAATTAAATAAGATAATTAAATAATTATACATTTTAAGATATTAAGAAACAGTTTAATTATCAAAAAAAAAAAAAAGAAAAAGTTAACCAACCTTGATACTTCTTTCATTTTTCTCGTCAAAATTATTAAGAACAACAATACATTCATCAATAATACACTGGGCCATTACAGTATGTGATTTTAATTCATATGATTTTTTTGATTCCTCTGGCAACTTTTCAAATGAACTATGGTTCTCATTGCTCTCAATTAACTTAACAGCTTCTGTAAAAAATATATAATCATCATAAAAATTTATGGTAATTGAATTAGTTCATAAATTATGTTATTTAGATTCAATCAAAAATGAATTAAATTATATTTTAACGGTTCAGAAAATATCTTGTATTTTGTATATTATTTATTTATTTTATTTAATAAAAATAAGATTTTGATTTTTTTGTTATGAACACTTGAAGGGATCATTATTGCACATAAATCATTTTTTTAAAACATTTTTAAAAAGCAATTATTTATTGCTGCATAAAAGTTCATACTAATACAAAATTACAAAATAATCTAATTTTAGAGGATAATTTTATCCTACTTTCTAGTATACAATTTGAAAGTAATGTTACAAATTTTTATAATTGCTAAACATATATAAAAAGCATAATTTAAAATTTTAAAATTTAAATTGTTGAATATATTTTAACAAAACATAATTATAATTATATATGATATATCATAAAAACATTACAAAATTTTAAAAACTTGTTAAAATAAATGCATAATATAGTAACTTAATTCTACATTTTTTCTAATAAATAATAATATTTATACTGTATAATTTGAAAATTGACATTATTACCTTCATTTATTATCCAACCTTTAAAATTCAAGTATTGTATTATGAATATCGAAGACTTTAGAGTTGGTGAAATTTTTATGAGGTCAAGGTTTTTAATTTTAAATGATAAAATATGATATACTGTACTGTCCAAATTATGAGTCTAAAAAATATAGATAATAATAATTAATTATAATAATAAAATAATAAATAAGAGGTTATTTATTCTATAATTTCCTAATACTTTACTATTTTGATTATTACTTTTGATAGTTTTGGTCCTGCTATCTGTAATATAGTACATAAGCAATGAATATTCTGATCATCATTTACTTTCATTAATTCGTCAATACACGCCAATATATTTTTTTCGTTTAAAGCCCCTTGTTTGAATAGTTCACCGATAAATCTATAAAAATATTACATTGTACAAGATATACAAATAATTAATTAATTTTACTTAAAAACATACTTGCAATGGGTTAAAGAACTATTATAGTATTGGAAATGAACCGTATTCAATCTGTTCTTAAAATTGGATGGTGTCTATAACAGATATCAAAGAGTTATATTTTTTGAAAATTGAATTAAAAAATAAATATTATCAATTGGTGGACAATGTATTTGAGTATAATATGGTTTTAGTCAAAGGTAAATTAGAATGGATAAGTTTGAATAGTTTAGTCGAGTAATCCTAATAAAGTCACTTAACTTATTAGCTATTATTGTTAATTGTACAATATTATATATATTATATATTTGGGTTAAAAGTATATAATAGTGTATAGTGTATAGTGTATAATAGTATATAGTGTTAATAATGTATGAATAAGTCTTGATTTAAAATGGTAAAAATCAGGTTATTTATAAATAAAAATGAATTATGCAAGTATCAATACTGAGATTCATATTAAGTTGAAGTGGTTTAAGACTAATACTTGTAATAATTATAGATTATACGATATAAAATAGTATAACCACAAAAATACGGTGATTATATTCAAAAAATAATATAAATTACCATATTATTTTTCTTAAAATTTTCTTTTAATTTAGATACTTCTTCCTGAGAAGTATACTGTGAGGTACAGCCCTCAAAGCATTTTTGTGCTAAAATTAACTGAAAAGTAGTTTCAGTGTTGTGTAGTTCATTAAATGTAGCATAATTAATCATGTATGCACATAAATTTGCGTATAAATTTACAAAATTGGGTTTATTAAATGCCTAGATTAAAAAAAAAAACAAAAAAAAATGTAATAACTATAAAAATGTTTGATAATATTTACATACCCCAGCATAAATTATATCCACCATTTTTTCAAATATATAAACTGTTTTAAATGGTATAGAAACAATTTGATCTGCCATATTCTTAAAATTGATAATATTTATATCTTGGACAATTGATTGTACCAAATTAAATATTTCCTAAAGTAAAAGAAGTTTAAAATAATAATTCTAAATATATTCCAAAAATAAGATTCAATAAATAAAATAAAACACATCTTAAGAAAAGTTTATTCAACAGCACAATAAATATTATTTTATAAACATAGACATATATTTATAAACATACAATATACATTTTTTGTAAGATTCAACAATTGTTAAACATACGATTAATATCATTAATTATTACATCAAATTTTAAATATTTTAAATTATATAATATTCAATACTTACAACTGGTTCACAAGTAGCTTCCATTGTTGTTATTAAATGAAAAAACAAATATTTCTGAAAATAACATTTTTTTATAAGTAATATAAACTAATACAGAGAACCCATAGTTAAATTATATAATTATTATTTATTAGTCACAAATTTAGGGGGTAGGTAATACCAACAGTTGAGGGGCAAAAATATTGGTTTAAAAATGATAACTAGTAACTTATAATTAATTTAATTATATAATTATAGTTTCGAGATGAAATATTATTTGGTAATCTTAATATAAATATTTAGAAATTACATTCTCTTCAATGTCTTTTTAAAGTAGATGGACGAATATAAAACGACTCTGGAGGCAAAACTTTACTATTGAATAAACTAAACAAATCTTAAAGTAAAACCAACTGATCTAATAATATTACTTCATACGTACAGTAAAATATCTTATTTTAAAACAATATCATGTACAACTATAGGTCTGAGTAAAATTTATCGTCAAAACAATTTGAAAAATATATATATTTAACTACAAAACAATAAATTAAATTAAATAATACCTTTCAACTGTAGTCTGTGGTTGACTGTCTTTTATACGACTGGTATCAAATTATCGTTGATGAAAATGATGGTTTATAAGATGCAACACATCTACAACAATTTTTAAACCAAATGTTGACGAGTATCACTGAACAATAAAATAGATATACCAAGTATTGTTGAACCGCAAAATGGTTTCTTCATTGACCGTAAGCCGTAGCTATAGGTAATAGTTAATTAAATAACTAATAACTTCACAAAATCGTATGTTCACGCATACATTTTTTCGATCTTGATCACGAAAAACAAGTATATTATTATCAAAAACGGATTTGATAAACAATAATACTATTTTGTAATGAATTCGCAAATTCGGACGGCTGTAAACTAACAATATCTGTATTAAATTCAGAAGAGTGTTATACCTATTTGGTGTATCTAAGGAGAGTGTTAACCGTATTGGATACAAACATTCGAGCTGGTCGTAGAGTATTTACTCATTGTAGCCGGCTAATATATTAAAAGGTACATTTTAGGGTTAGGAAATTAAATTTGTTTAATTATATCACGGACTATGAAGGGTTTAAGGCATAATCACGATTTAATCGTTTTAATCTCGGAAAACAAGTTTATTTCTTGTATTTTAAGTGTACTTTAAATATAAAATTATTTTATTTTATTTAATATTCAGCAAATGACATCAGTTTGAAATCGTTAACAACCTATAATTTTAGATGGTTTTGCGTTATCTTGGTTCAAATAGCATGAAATATAAGACATAAAACATTTTTATAAAAATATTATAACAAATAATGTATTCATAATGTGCCTGTATGATTAGCAAATATCATAACATTAAAATCTCAAGCCACTGAATACTATTATTTCATGCAATGTCCAGAATGTTGATCGTTATTAAACTACATCTTGTGCATTTCGAAACGTTTCACAACCCAGGGAAAGCTCTTACGCTTAATTCTTTAAATAAAATAAATAAAATAAAATATTTAAATAGCTTTGTAAATTTATAAAACTTTTTCTAGGTGTTTAGTAAAACTACTGAGAAAATCAAAAATGTACCCATTTTGAAATACTCTTTTAGGGGGGGGGCGAAGGTGCGAAAGTTCACTTATCCTTTTTTTGTTGACCATTATGCCAATAACTTAAGACTTCTTTATATACGTCGCGTCGTTGTCGTGTTATAGTGAATAATATCTATTATAACTAAATTTATTATTTTTTCGTAATATTTTCGAAATGGTGAAAATTAAAACGTTAGTTAGTGTTTGTCTACGTCTCCCAACGGAGAGAAGTTTTTCCATATATAAATATTTATAAACTGATAATCATCGTTCATTTACTTTTGATAACATCAAATACGCTTTAATTGTACAATGTAATGGTTTTGATTTTTGAGTGATTTATAAGATTTGTTAAATTTACAAAACAGATATTTGTATTTTTTTTATTTTATATTTTAAACACATTTGTTGTCATTTTTATATCATATTTTGAGTAATTCATAAGTTTTGTTAAATTTATAAAGAATTTTAAAGTAAAATAATGTAAAATATTTAAAAAAAATGTATTTTTATTTATTTAAAACAAATATTTGTAATTTTTTACGGACATTTTTTGTCATATTTGCATATTTTTGTAGGCCATTATTTAATATTTTTTAAGGTCATCAACCGCCCCTGAAACGTATCGTGCACAGGTATTGCAATTTGGAGATAAGAACGGTAATAGGAAGCTGACGCAATGCCGACATTTGTTTTTTCCAATACGTTCAACACCTCGTACATATGTTGCCCCCCTGATTTACACAATACATATTATGTATTGTGTAAATCAAGGGTGGGCTCCCCACGAGCCTTTTTTATTTGTTTCGTGCTATATTTTCAAATTACATCGTACAATTTTAAAATTTATCGTTTACACTCCATCTTATCGATATAATAATTGTTATCTGATATTAAACATTGTTTAATTTTGTATACGTATAGTTTTCAAACATAGGTGTTTGGGCTGCAACTTGTTTGCGCGAAACGGAACTTTTCGTTAGGACTTCACTTGATTATAAGTTATAACTATCTTTCAATATATCAGGCGATTATCACAGGACAAATTTAGTCTAACGTGACAATTTTCAGTGAGCAGAACGTATTGTACGAAGAATTAATGGGCAATCGCTTTTATGGAAAAAAAATTTAACTTTAAAATTTTAAAAACGTGAAAAAATAAATATAAATAAAAATAAGGAATATAAACTATTATACGAATCAACTACCCTACTATTAAGACTAATCGTACATTTTTAACCATACCTATGAACAAATATTTTCATAGACAGTCCTAAGTCTGTAAAGTGGGAAGGAAAATGTACTTACGTACCACATTAGATAAAACATTTCTTAAAGTAGCTTAAAGTTGTCATAGTAGATATAATGTGCCCTTATATTTATTTATTTTAAGGTACTTTTGTGCACAATTTCTTAAATTTAAGATTAACTGTGCCCAAACGAGTGGTACTTTTGTACGCAAACTAGCTGTCTTATTGGTATTTGTGCACAAACCAGGACCGCCCGCTGTTCGTACCGAACTATTTAACTATATCAGTTTTTTCGTATCATTCGTGTTGTGCTGTCGTGTGTGTTGAATTTATTATTTAGGGTGTACATGATGGCTAATTAAAGTTCATATTCTAAATGACCTTTTTTTTTTCCTGGCCCGATTTTTTATTTTCTAAAAATTAGCCCTCTAGTAACTTTGAGTTGCCCATCCCTGGTGTACGTAATAAATTTAAATCCAAAGAGAAATTCCACGGACTCTCGATGCGCGTGTACGGCGCATAGATTTCCAGTCGGTTATTTTTGCAATAACAGCAAATTGAACATCTGTTAAATTAAACGTTTATCTTATAAACCGGTCGTCGAAGCTCGTCAAATATTATTTGAGTTCAGTTTTATTATGTTTTTTTTTTTTTAAAAAAAAAATAAAAATTAATACCGTCAGCTAGTGAACCCTGCAAAATCCGATTAGGAAGAGATTATGTGGACTATGAACATTTTTAATTCATCGGATTGTAAAACGGTTTCTATAAGCGATTAAATGTTTACTATTATACGGTAAAGAATTTAATTTTCAATTTTAATTCAGTAACTCGTTAGTACAATTTACTTGTAATAGCATTTATAATATTTATCACTGTAATTGACTATCGGTACAGTTTACTTCATTGGGAACAAAAAAAAAAAAAAAATAATGCTCCCGACGCTAATGGGTCCCTTCTCTGTCCAGTTATTTCCAGCACTAGCAGTACTCAAGTTATTCAGTCCTTCAATATTCTTATCCCATTTGTTCTACATCAAAACAAACGATGTGTTTTTTTTCCATTTGAAATTTAAAAATAAATAATTCAATTATATTATCGTACAAGGATAATTGATCTATTTTCTAGGCATGGAAAAAAACTGCTTTTTCTCTAACTTCTTCTTCGATAAATCTTGCCTCCGATTTTCCCAATACGATGTTTATGTTTTCCAACCTTTACATTTAGGTGTATCTATATTTATATGTTATATGTTTTGTATTATATCACTTGAAAAAACGCGTTATATCTTATTTTTAGCATTGTCATTCTCATATGTTTAGCATATTATTCGGTTTTAACATTTCAGTAATATAATAATCGTAACAGGTCAAACGCTATGTATATTATTTGGTAAACAAATCATTTGCCATCCAAGATAACATGAAAAGCTGAATATACCTTTCTCGTTACGAACCTATATAACATTTTTATTTTCACTTAATATATTATATGTGACTATATATATTTAATTTTATGTGACTGTATGTTATGATTTTGTAACGAATTTAATGGTTTTGAATTTCGTGTCTAATATGATATGTATACACGCGGCCCGTTCTGAATGTCAGATTCAAGTGTTATACGATGTAAGATATTACATCGTATGTTTAAAACTTGAATTGTATTTTTGATCAATTGTCGAATGCGGTATCGATATCTCGAAAAATCTATAATTATTTATTCGTAAACTATGATCGTGGAAAAAAATAAATATTTTTAGACAAAAAAATGTAATAGTCGTTATTTTTCACCCTCACTTTTCGCTTGATAGATATTTGTGTACCGCGTACATGGTCGATTTGTTATATTTTTTGTGTGTTCGTTAAAAATATTAATAAAATTAAACGTAATGAAATTTCTATTAAATAGCACGTGATTTTGACAGCACCGACGAAGATCCTAACCGGAATAATGAAGACGATCACAGTAGTTCAGAAAATATGCTCACTCCTGTGATGCTTAGTAATGGTGAGGACTGAAATAATAGTTTTACGAATGAACGGCCGAATTCTAACGCAATGTATACCTAATCCATAAAATTGATCTGTTAGAATAAATGAAGACATTGTTTGAACCATGATTGACTGTAGTCCCTTAGATTTTTTTGCATTGTTTTTTCGACGAC